GAATCCACTAGAATCAGCTGGAATCAGTTGGAATCCACTGGAAACAGCTGGGATCAGCTGGAATCAGCTGGAATCCACTGGAAACAGTTGGAATCCACTAGAATCAGCTGGAATCAGTTGGAATCCACTGGGATCAGCTGGAATCAGCTGGAATTAGTTGGAATCCACCGGAAACAGCTGGAATCAGTTGGAATCCACTGGGATCAGCTGGATTTAACTGAATCATGTCCTGAGCTGCAGTCTAAACTAAGACTTTTTGTCCTCAGAGTGACGTAGAGAAGTTGGAAGGTCTTCCGGTCAGCCCCTTCATGGACAGAGACAAAGTCACCAAACCTTCGTCTCAAATCGGCTTCATCCGATTCGTCCTTCTGCCGCTTTTCGTGGAGCTCGCCAACCTGTTCCCCTGCCTGGAGGTAATTCAATAATACAGCTTTAATGCAGCAGCCAGGAGATCAAAACACTGAGCGGTCTTCATCTGTCCCGCAGCATCACATCATCGACCCTGTGAGGAAAGCCCTGGACTATTACACTGAGATGGAGAAAGCTTTGGACAAAGAGAAACAGAACTGGGCCCAGAACCAGGAGGCCCCTGAAGCCAGACAGAACCTGGACCAGAAACCCCAGAACCAGAAACCCAGTGACCCACGGCGAACACCACGGACCGACGTCAGCGGGATCTAAGCTCCATCATCAGTTTGATTTTATTCATCTTCTATCATCTGCTGGCGTCTTCAGGGTGGGTGGTTCACCTGAACCCCCAAAGATCTGCTTCCCAATAGGAACCTCAGAAAACTGGATTTCAATCCAGATTAAAACCTGTTTAGATTAATTCAATAAAGCTGTTTTTTCAATAATCTGTTAATTTATCAGAGGAGCAAAATACTTAAAAACTGTTTTATTACATTTCTTTGTTTTTACTTTATTGATCTTATTGTCTTTAACATCTGTTCTTTACTTTATATTTTAAACTTTTTCTGGTTGTTATAAAGTACTTTATAAAGTACTATTAGTACTATAGTACTGTAGTACTAGTAGAAGTAATAAATGTTGTTTTGAACCTCTCAGCTGAATCCTGGTGGATTTTTTCTGATGCTCTGCTGTGTGATAAATATTAAAGAACTTTCCATCATCTGCTGATCTTCTGTGTTTGGTTTCCTCTGCTTTGGTTCCAGCCGTCCTTCATTCAGACGCAGCTCAGGAAGCCCGACTGCTGGAGCAACGATCACACTGAGAAGGTTTGCTTTTCATGACCTTGATGAAACTCACTACAAGCTGTGAGGTTTCTGTTTCTCCAGCAGAACAATCTGGGTTAGAACGATTCGTTCCTTAAAGGACAGGAGCAGGAGGCCCCCA